TTAGAAATAATGCAATAGGAGCAGATATCTTAGAAATAATGCAATAGAAGCAGATATCTTAGAAATAATGCAACATTGTCGACTTAACGGCCAATTCTAGGGGACCAGAATTCCCATTACTAAGCAGGGTGGTCGTTCAAATGAGTTGGCGCTGATTCTGTGGCTCGTTCTGCGACCGCTGTTCTAGCCAAACCCCTAGACCTCAAGTCAGGAGGTCTTAACACCATGTCAGACCAATGGCCGTCCAGTCTTTGCTTGAAATCCTCCGGCGATGGGGCATCCCTAACTCCAGAAGGGAAGTGTTCTGGCCGAGAGATAGGATATTATTCCTCCTTATTTCAAATTTGGACCCCTCCACTCCAACACCTGTCCACCTGTTGGTTTGTGTCCCACCCTTGAAAGTTTTGGAGAATGAGTCCACCCCATCTTCCTTGGGATCGCCCTTCAGTCACCCAAGTCCCTTCTCTTCTCTAGGGTTTTTTCAAAGTTGGCCACTTGGAAATGGGTAGACTTCAACTCCCAGCGTTCCCTGGCGCTAACGCCCTCTTTTTGGACACGTCCCCCCCCACGGCGGCCCGCTTGCTCTCCACGATCCCCCCCTCTGCCATCTCTCCGTTTTAAAGGGATAGGAGGAAGAAAAATAAAAATAGGAATGACCGACTGGGGAATTCCGGGAGTTGAAGGCCCCCCGCCCCATCTTAAAAGTCGCCAGGTCTGAAAAAACACTGGGCTGAACTCGGCCCACCCAGATCGGCCCAGCGGGATCTTTTCTTTCGTTCCTTCGATCCATGGGACGCCACTGACCTCGGAGATCTTTCCAGGTTGATCCGACGGCCCGCCTGACTTTCAATCTGCGTCTCACGGAGGCCGAGCGCCAAGCCAGGGAATCGGTGCCTCTCCCGTACCACTTCAGCGCGGAAAAGTAAGGGCTTTTTTTTTTTTAAAAAAAAATCCCTTTTGTCGTTTCCTCTCACCTGTTTCATTGATCCACAGATTAAAATTTACCGGCTGCCCGTCTCGCTCCGCAAAAAAGAGCCGGGGGTGGGAAGGTGTGTGTGTGTGTGTGTGTGTGTGTGTGTGTGTGTATGTGTGTGTGTGTGTGTGTGTGTGTGTGTATATATATATATATATATATATATATATATATATATATATATATATTAAAATTCAGTTGGAACATTCCTTAAGAGCCAGTTTGGCCCAGTAGTGAAGGCACCAGTTAGAAAGCACGAGGAGATGACTTCTAGTTCTGCCTTAAGTTTGAAAGCTGGCAGGGGACCTTTGACCCAATCACCTGACCCAGGTGTGAATTCTAGTTCTACCTTTAGCATAAAAGCTGGTTGGGTGACTTTGGGCCAGTCCTCCTCTCAGCCCCATCCACTTCAGAGGGTGGTGGCTGTAGGGAAAAGAGGAGGAAGGGCGCGTTGGATATGTTTGCACCTTAAGCTATTTGTGAAACTAATAACTAATATGATCCCTGGTGGTGCAGTGGTTAGAGCGCAGTACTGCAGGCTACTTCTACTGACTGCCGGCTGCCTGCAATTTGGCAGTTCAAATCCCACCAGGGTCAAGGCCGACTCAGCCCTCCATCCTTCCGAGGTGGGTAAAACGAGGACCCAGATTGTTGGGGGAAAGAGGCTGACTCTGTAAACCACTCAGAGAAGGTATGAAGTAAATATATAATATATAAATATATAAATAAAAAATAAAGTAGGCTACTTTATCTGTGAGGTTACGTCGAACACATCTTGGTTCTTCTTGCCATTAGGAGTCGCTTGGGTAGCGAGGTAGGCACTAGCACCTCCGTGTCATCACTAAGTAGAATGACAGAGTAACAGAGATGGAAGAAACCTTGGAGGTCATCTAGTCCAACCCCCTGCTCAAGCAGGAGACCCTATAACATCTCAGACAAATGGCCGTCCAATCTCTTCTTAAGGACCTCAAAATTAGTTAAATAGATAGATAGATTCCTTGAAATAGATCTTCTCTTACAATCGATAGACAGAGAGATAGATAAATAGACAGATAGATCTTTTCTTGAAAGGTATAGATGAATAGATGCTTTTTTGAAGTAGACAGTTGGATCTTTTCCTGAAATAAATTGGCAGACAGAGACAGAAACAGACAGACACGTAGACAGATAGATAACAGTTAGGAAGGTAGGTAGGTAGGTAGATACAGTAGATTCTTTTATTGAAATAGATAAGACGGATATTTTCTTGAAATAAATTGACAGACAGAGAGACAGAGACAGACCAGACACGTAGATAAGATAACACGTAGGCTGGTAAATAGATGGAGAGGGGGGAAGGTTAGATAGACAGACCATAGAATCAAAAGACTGGAAGGGACCTTGGAGGTCATCTAGTCCAACCCCCCTGCTCAAGCAGGGGACAAATGGTTGTCCAATCCCTTCATGAAAACCTCCAGTTTATGGAGCACCCACCACTTCCAGAGGATGGATGGATGGATGGATGAACAGATAAAGAGGTGTGAAAGAGAGGGAGAGGATAGAGGGACAGACAGACAAATATTATATACTTTGTGCGTGTGTGTGTGTGTGCTTTCTTGTCCCCTCCCAGGAAATCCTCTCTCCTGCAGACGTCGACGGAGGAAGGCAAAATCTACTACGAACCAGATGCCGCCGATGATTTTGACGATGAAGATCCTGACGACGATTTGGACGTGTGAAGGAGAAGAGCTGCTTTCTTCTGCAACGTGGGAATGATGGCAGACAGAGCCAGTCTGGGCACTGGGAATGGACCGGAACCCGGGGCCATCCGAAAAGAGTGGAAAACAAACCAGATTTCCGGCTTCCTGTGGGGAAAAGAGACAGGAGTAAGAAAGTGGCCTGCAGGAAATCGGTTGGGATCGCTTTGCTGACGGTGGAGAGAGGGATTTGGTTGAACCGTCCTTTTGAGGAAGGAGAGATTCCTAGCTGGGCGGCCAATAAATTACCTGAGTGCTGACAGGACTGGCTCCGTGAGACTCTTACTGCAGTGGAATAGAATCACAGAGCTGGAAGGGACTTTAGAGGTCTTCTAGTCCAGCCCCCTGCTCAAGCAAGAGATCCTATCCTATTCCAGGCAAATGGCTGTCCAGTCTCTTCTTAAAAACCTCCAGTGTTGGAGGACCCACAACTTCTGGTGGCAAGCTGGTTAATTGTCCTCCCTGTTAGGAAATTCCTCCTTATTTCCAGGTTGCTTCTCTCCTTACTTAGTTTCCATCCATTGTTTCTTGTCCTGCCTTCTGGTGCTTTGGAGAATAAGTTGACCCTGCCCTCTCCTTTGGGGCAGCCCCTCAAATACTGAAATACATGCTACCATGTCGCCCCTAATTCTTCTTTTCCATAGACCGGCCAGACCCAAATCCTTTTAAGTCCTCTTAGTCGGTCTTCTGTAAAGTTTAAAACAATAAACCATCACTTTGTTGATATAATTTCGTGCATTGTAAAATTTTGCCTTGGAATATGTATTTTTTTGCACAGATGCCTGGTGTAGGCGACTTAATTGACTGCATCTTTGTGGGAAATATAAACATCTGACTTAGAAGAATGTTTCTCAGGCTGGAGAACTCTTAAGATGGGTGGACTCCAATCTCAGAATTCCCCAGCCAGCCAGCAAAAATTCTGGGAGTTGAAGTCCGCTGGTCTTAAAAGTGGCCACAGTTTAGAAACACGGTCGTGTGCTCAGTTCAAGGCAAATCTAGACACCTTTCTTTACAGAATATACATATACATATATACATACATACTTGTTTTCTGAGGTTCTCGCGGGTATTTGTATGTGGATCTTTGGTTATTCGGGTTTTCTCCCGCGTAAAATTGGAAGTATCTAGGCAACGTTTCGATGAAGTCTCATTCATCTTGAGGCTTGTGTCTTCAGCTTTGTGCTTCTCAGAGTAAGCAAAGCTGAAGACACAAGCCTGAAGACGATGAATGAGACTTCATCGAAACGTCACCTAGATACTTCCAATTTTACGCGGGAGAAAACCCGAATAACCAAAGATCCACATACATACATATATACATACATACATACATATATGTTTAAATGGACAAAAAGCAAAAATTGCAAGGATGCCCAACGCACAAACTCTTAACCAGATTTCAAGGCCTGAAACCCTGACACCTTTGGGGCAGCTGCATAATGGCTCCAGGACCTAAAAGAAGAATCATGCTAATCATTGAAGGGTGGGGCGGAAAACCCAATTCACAACAACCCTACAGTGTTGTCCAGTGTTGTCCCTGAATATCCGTTCTGTATCCAAAAAAAACCCCCACCCCAGCCTGCTATTTTCTCCCCCACAGCCAGTTTTTTTTCGCGGCTTCTCCACAAAAGAAGCAGGAAATAAAAATTGGGGAATAGCTTTGACATTTTTGTATTTAAATCGATTTTTTTTTTTTTGCGCTCAAAATTTTGGGCGAGAGGGAAAAAAAGCGGGAACTCTCCGCGCATGCGTTTCCGCTGATGGGGTTTGTTTTTTTTTTTTTGGTCTTGAGGGCGCATGCGCTTCCATGCCGCGCGCTGACTGCCCGGGTTCCCATCCTCCGCTTTTATAAAATTCCCCGACGGCCTCTTAAAAAAAATCATAATAATAAAGCCCAGGGGGGCATGCGCGACTTCCTCCCGGCCCCGCCTCCTCCACCCTCGCCTTCTAATTGGACGCGCCTCCTTTCCCACGGCGACTCGGAAGTAGACGCTGGGCGCTCGGTCGGTTGCTCCGGAAGTGCCCCTCTGAAGCGAAGGCGAGCGTCGGCGGGGGAGGAGGGGGGGCAGCGCTTCCCCCTCAGGCGGGAGAGCGAGCGGGCGGGCGACCGAGGGAGGGAGAGCAGGCGGGGAGCCGGGATGGCGGGGCCCGCGGGGGGCCCGGGCTGACCGGAGGGCCCTGCCGTCCTCCTCCTCCTCTTCCTCCTCTTCCGTCCCCCCCCCCGCTGGAAACTGGCGGAGCTGGGCCGGGCCGGGGGCGCGGCGGGCCCCGCCGGCCGGATGATGCGCTCGCAGTGCCTGCTCGGCGTCCGGGCCTTCCTGGCCTTCGCCACCAAGCTCTGGAGCTTCCTGCTGTACCTGCTGCGACGGCAGGCCCGCACCGTGAGTAGAGGACGGCAAGGCATGGGCGCCTCTGAGGACGTGCAGAGTGCGGGGAGGAAGGGTGGAGGGGGGTGGTGTTTCTCTCTCTCTCTCTCTCTC